ACTCCTCTCCCTGTGTCCATGTGTTCTCATTGTTCAACACCTGCCTATGAGTGAGAACATGCGGTGTTTGGTTTTCTATTCTTGTGTCAATTTGCTGAGAATGATGGTTTCCAGATTCCTCCATGTCTCCACAAATAACCTGAACTCATCCTTTTTTATGGCTGCGTAGTATTCCATGGTGTATATGTGCCACATTTTCTTTGTCCAGTCTATCATTGATGGGCTTTTCGGTTGGTTCCAGGTCTTTGCTATTGTAAATAGTGCCGCAATGAACATACATGTGCATGTGTCTTTATAATAGAATGATTTGGGCCGGGCACAGTGGCTCAAGGCTGTAATCCCAGCACTTTGAGAGGCTGAGGTGGGTGGATCATGAGGTCAAGAGATCGAGACCATCCTGGTCAATATGGTGAAATCCCATCTCTACTAAAAATACAAAAAATTAGCTGGGCATGGTGGCGTGTGCCTGTAATCCCAGCTACTCAGGAGGCTGAGGTAGGAGAATTGCCTGAACCCAGGAGGCGGAGGTTGCGGTGAGCCGAGATCGTGCCATTGCACTCCAGCCTGGGTAACAAGAGCGAAACTCCATCTCAAAAATAATAATAATAAAAAAATAAAAAATAAAACAGATATGTCTGCACTTCTTCAAGCATGAAATCCGAGTCCCAAGCAAGCCATCCATGGATAAGAATGTCACCAGCAGAACCCATAAAGCTTGTCCAGGGAAGTTGGACTCCACCATTTCAACATCCAGCTTTCTGTGTAATGCCTGTGTGCCAACAGCTTCAGTTAGGGTTACTCTTTAGGACTTCAGCTATTCTCATCCTTCCTTTGGGACACAACTATTGATAAGGTGCTATCGAGAGCCACATTGCATCCACACCTAGCTCCATACCTGACAAGAGCGGCCTCCTACCTCGAAAGCTTAATTCCTTTTTAAATGTTTTTTTGTTTTTGTTTTTTTGGGTTTTTTTTGAGACGGAGTTTCGCTCTTGTTACCCAGGCTGGAGTGCAATGGCACGATCTCAGCTCACTGCAACCTCCGCCTTCTGGGTTCAGGCAATTCTCCTGCCTCAGCCTCCTGAGTAGCTGGGATTACAGGCACGCGCCACCATGCCAGCTAATTTTTTGTATTTTTAGTAGAGACGGGGTTTCACCATGTTGACCAGGATGGTCTCGATCTCTTGACCTCGTGATCTACCTGCCTCGGCCTCCCAAAGTGCTGGGATTACAGGCTTGTGCCACCGCGCCTGGCCTTTAAATGTTTTAATTTAAGTGTTCTTTGTAAAGTTTTCTGTACTTTACTTTTTAGATTATTTCCTTTTTTATTTTCTCTCCAAAATACTTTCTTTCTTTTTTTTTTTTTTAAGATGGGGTTTCACCATGTTGGTCAAGCTGGTCTTGAACTCCTGACCTCAGGTGATCCGCCTGCCTTGGCCTCCAAAGTGCTTGGATTACAGGTGTGAGCCACCATGCCAGGCCTTCTTTCTTTTTTTTTAAGATGGAGTCTTGCTCTGTCACCCAGGCTGGAGTGCAGTGGCATGATCTTGGCTCACCACAACCTCCGCCTCCTGGGTTCAAGTGATTGTCCTGCCTCAGCCTCCTGAGGAGTTGGGATTACAGGTGCACGTGACCACGCCCAGCTAATTTTTGTGTTTTTAGTAGAGACAGGGTTTCACCATATTGGTCAGTCTGGACTCGAACTCCTGACCTTGTGATCTGCCTGCTTTGGTCTCCCAAAGAGCTGGGATTACAGGCGTGAGCCACTGCACCTGGCTGACAATACTTTCTAAATAACATACTTACCAATTGTAAATAAGGTAACATGGAACTATTTCCTTGGTAGAGCCGGACTCCTGACATTAGCTCTTTGGTCACTGGCTGCGTCTTCTCTTTCACAGATGTGAGCATGCAGAAGAAAGAATCCACAAATCTGAAGATAAAACTTTTGCAAAATATTGACTCTGAGAGGCCTAAAGGAAAAAGAGTGAAGACTAAACAGAACTTAAGGGATCTGTAGCACACCACTAATCAGACCAACAGACACATTATGGAAGGTGGAGAAAGATAAAAGAGAAATGAAGGAGTAGAATAAAATGTGAAGAAATAATAGGCAAAATGTTCCAAACTTGATGAAAAACAGGAATCTTTAAATCAAAGAAGCTCAACAAACTCCAAGTAAGAGAAACTCAGAGAGGCCCACCGTGAGTCACATTATCATCAAAATGACAAATGGCAAAGATGAAGAGTGCTGAAAGAAGTGATTCCTTACATGAAGGGATTCTCGATACTATTAATAACAAATACGTCATCAGAAATCATGGGGACATAGTCAGTGAGATGACATATTTAAGAGTCGAGAAAGAAACCCTATCAACCAAGAATTCTGCGGTCACCAGAAATGTTCAAAAATGGGGGAGAATTTAAGACATTCCTAGAAAAACTAATGGCAAGGAAGTTTACCACTACACTTGCCATACCAAAAACGCTGCAGTGGGGGGTGGCTCACTCCTGTAATCCCAGTACTTTGGGAGGCCAAGGCGGGTGGATCATGAGGTTGGGAGTTTGAGATCAGCCTGGCCAACATAGTGAAACCCCATGTCTACAAAAATACAAAATCAGCTGGGAATGGTGGTGCATGCATGTAGTCCCAGCTTCTTGAAAGGCTGAGGCAGGAGGTTCACTTGAACCGAGGAGGCAGTAGTTGTGGTGAACCGAGAATGTGCTACTGCACTCCATCCTGGGCAACAGAGTGAGACTCTGTGTCAAAAAAAAAAAAAAGAAAAAGAAAAAGAAAAAGAAATAATAAAAGGAGTTCTTCAGGGTGAAATAAAAGGATGCTAGACAGTAACTCAAGCTGTGTGGAGAAATAAAGATCTCTAGTAAAGCTAAGTACATTGGACCACATTTGTGATATTTTTGTATATAACTCCAGTTTTTACTTATTCTTTTCGAGAAGGAGCCTTACTCTGTCACCCTGGCTGGAGTGCAGTGGTGTGATCTCAGCTCACTGCAACCTCCACCTCCTGGTTCAAGCAATTTTCCTGCCTCAGCCTCCCACATAGCTGGAACTATAAGCACATGCCAACACGCCCAGCTAATTTTTGTATTTATAGTAGAGACAGGGTTTCACCATGTTGGTCAGGATGGTTTTGGTCTCTTGACCTCGTGATCCACCCTCCTCGGCCTCCCAAAGTGCTGGGATTACAGGTGTGAGCCACTGCACCCAGCCTCCAGTTTTTACTTCTTATTGGATTTTAAAAAATCAGTAAAAATTGCCAGGCATGGTGTCTGGCTCTGTCCCCCAGGCTGCAGTGCAGCTGCATGATCACGGCTCACTGCAGCTTTGAACTCCTGGGCTCCAGCAATCCTCTTGCCTTGGCCTCCCAAAGTGCTGGGAGTACAAGTGTGAGCCATCTTACCTGGCCTCAGTAGGAAATGTATAGCTGTAAATACCTACAAATAATTTCATATCTTGAGGAACTACCAAAAAAGAGGAAAGTAAGCCGGGCGCGGTGGCTCACGCCTATAATCCCAGCACTTTGGGAGGCCAAGGCGGGTGGATCATGAGGTCAAGAGATCGAGACCATCCTGGTCAATATGGTGAAACCCCGTCTCTACTAAAAATACAAAAAAATTAGCTGGGCATGGTGGTAATTCCAGCTCCTCAGGAGGCTGAGGCAGGAGAATTGCCTGAACCCAGGAGGCGGAGGTTGCGGTGAGCCGAGATAGCGCCATTGCACTCCAGCCTGGGTAACAAGAGCAAAACTCCGTCTCAAAAAAAAGGAAAGTAAACTAATCTTACAGAAGGAAAGAAATAAGAGGGGAAATACGTGAAATGGAGAATAGACGAGAATCTATTCAATGAGAATCAATGAAACTAAAATGTGTTTCTTTGGAAAGATCAGTAATATTGCCAAACTTCACTTAGATTGCCAAAAAAGACAGAAGATGCAAATAATTAAAACTAGAAATGACACTGGGGCATACTACAACAAACTTTTCAGAAATAAAGATGAGAAGAGGATACTATGAACAATTAATTGTACAACTTAGTTAGATAACCTAAATTAAGTGGACACATTCCTGGAAACACAGAAATTATCTTAACTGGATTAAAAAGTAATGAAAAATCTCAACAGATCTATAACCAGAAAAAAATATTAAATCAGTATTTCGAAACTTTCCAACAGTGAATTGTTAAGGACCAAAGAAGTGTCAATTCATGAATGAATTGTACCAAACATTTAAAGAATAATTAACACCAGTGTTTCTCAACATCCTCCAAAAAAGTAGGAGTCCGGGCACAGTGGCTCACGCCTGTAATCTCAGCACTTTGGGAGACCGAAGTGGGCAGATCACTTGAGGTTGAGAGTTCGAGACCAACACCAGAAACCTGTCTCTTCTAAAAATACAAAATTAACCCAGAGTGGTCACGCATGTCTGTTATCTTAGCTACTCAGGAGGCTGAGGCAGGAGAATCGCTTGAGCCCGGGGTGATAGAGATTGCATTGAGCCAAGGAGGTAGAGGTTGCAGTGAGCCGAGATCACGGGGTTCAGGAACGTGGGGAACGTTCTTAATGTGCATCTTGAGGGGCGAGTCCCTCGACGGACGTTTCGTCCTTCTATTTTTTTTTTTTTTAAAGACGGGGTTTCACCATGTTGGTCAGGCTGGTCTTGACCAGCCTCACCTCAGGTGATCCGCCCGCTTTGTCCTCCAAAGCGCTTGGATTACAGGCATGAGCCTCCATGCCCGGCCCATTTCGCCCTTCTAGTCCACTCTGTCACCGAAGCCACCGGCTGGCTCTGGCCCCACCGTTAGCCCCGACCCCGGAATGGGTCCCGCCCATAGGCCTGATTTAACCCCTCACCTTGTCCTCTGAGCCCATTTCTCAATCTCCCCGACCCACGCACTGAGCCGACCCCTTGATACCTCCGCACCCACGCGGAAGAAAACTAGAATTATGCTGAGAGTCCCACCCTGGCCAACTGTCCACGCAACAGTCGCAACCCCCAACGTCCAAAGCGGAAGTGACGTTAGCGGCGCACCGCCCTCTTTTTCAGTCGCTGGCGCCTTTTTCCTTTGTGTCTTCTGGTCGGTCACTACTTTGGTGAGGCTTGTGTAGACTCGGGGATTGGGCGGTGTTTCGGGGGCGGCAAAGGTCACATTCGATCCAGGGCGATCGAGGAACCTCGTTAGAGCTGCGCGGACCACTCCATTCGCGTCCGCCGGAGCCGCGAAGCCATAGCGGGAGGCCAGGCCCGAGAGGCCACTGGGACCTTGGGTGCCCTAGCGGGGCCGGGTGGGAAGTGCAGTATGGGCCCGCCCGAGGGAGGTTTCCAGCCGTTGTGTTCCCGTCTTCAGAAGTCTCCAAGGGTTCTGAGGGCTTAGAAAATAAGTCTCCAAGGCATCCTTTGTGAATTGTTTTTCAGAGGGAAAAGAATTTTGCCGTTCGCGTTCGGTTGACTTCGTCCCCAAGATCCTGCAGCCCCACGGACCTGGCGACTCCACCGGGTTTGGGTGAGCATCGGGAGATGGTTCAAGGGGGCAGCTGCTTCCTTTGTTACTCAAACGAGTGTTTCGTGTGAGATTTTGTCATGTGGCCCTTGCGAAACCTGTGTATTTTTATTGACACATTTCGTTGAGGAGAAAGGTGCTTTCTTAGTTGTCTAGGGTGTGCGTATTTCTGTATGTGCATATAAACGTTTGTAGACCTCGAGTCTTTTCTGCTGAAGAAAGCTAAGAATACTCAGTTATTCTTTTCATATGAAGTTCCTCGCTCTGGCGGGGTGCGGTGGCTCGCGCCGGGAATCCCAGCACTTTGGGAGGCCGAGGCGGGTGGATCACTTGGGATCGGAAGTTCGAGACCAGCCTTATCAACAGGGAGACACTCCGTCTCTACGAAGAATACAAAAAATTACCCGGGCATGGTGGCGCATTCCTGTAATCCCAGCTACTTGGGAGGCTGCGGCAGGAGAATTGCTTGAACCCGTGGGCAGAGATTGCAGTGAGCCGAGATCTCGCCATTACACTAGCCTGGGCAAAAAGAGTGAAACTCCATCTCAAAAACAAAACAAAACAAACACAACAAAACCCACAAACACAAAAAGAAGTTCCTAGCGCTGTACGTCTCCAAAGAGCTTCATAACCATCCCTCCGAGAAGAAAGGATGTAGGGTTTACACACTAATACTAGAATAATCGAATTTACCAGGATGACTGTAGTAAGTGTATTTTTCCCACATTTTCTTTCGAAAAATCTTAAACCTACGGGTATTTTGACCATCCAGTACGACGAATAAGTATCCATTGTAGATGCAGCTGTTTTGAGCGTTTTCTGTATTTGCTCTCTCGTAAATAAATTTTATGGTGCACTGTTTGAGAGTAAACGGGAAATACATTACAGAGATGAAGCTCGACATTTAAGTGCTTGGTAATGCCTGACTCAATGATAAGAATGTTGTCTTACTCAAACCATAGTACCATTTGCATCAAGAAAATGAAAAATGATGTTATCTAATATTTACCCTGTATAATAAACGAACATTCTTCAAATTGTTCTGAAACATAACTGAGTGTTTTTGGATCTGAGATCTAGTCAAGTTTTTTTTTTTTTTCCCGAGACAGTCTCGCTGTCGCCCAGGCTGAAGTGCAGTGGTACCATTTCGGCTCACTCCGCCTCCTGGGTTCAAGTGATTCACCTGTCTCATCCTCCTGAGTAGCTGGGATTACAGATGTGCGCCACTGCGCCCGGCTGATTTTTTTTGTATTAGTAGAGACGGGGTTCACCATGCTGGTCAGACTGCTTCCGAACTCCTGACCTCGTCCTCTGCCCTCCTCAGTCTCCAAAAGTGCTGGGGTTACAGGCATGAGCCACTGGGCCCGGCCTCAGATTGTTTTTGAGACAGGGTGTTGCTCTGTCGCGCAGGCTGGAGTGCAGTGGCAGGATGTCGCCTCACTGCAACCACCGCCTCCCACGCCCAAGCGATTCTCCCGCCTTAACTGCCCAAGTAGCTGGGACTATAGGTGCATGCCACCAATGCACGCCACCAGATCTAGCTGATTTTTGTACTTTTTTTTTTTTTTTTTTGAGACGGAGTTTCGATCTTATTACCCAGGCTGGAGTGTAATGGCGCCATCTCGGCTCACTGCAACCTCCGCCTCCTGGCTTCAGGCAATTCTCCTGCCTCAGCCTCCTGAGTAGCTGGGATTACAGGCACACGCCACCATGCCCAGCTAATTTTTTGTATATATTTTTTTTTTTTAGTAGAGACGGGGTTTCACCATGTTGACCAGGATGGTCTCGATCTCTTGACCTCGTGATCCACCCGCCTTGGCCTCCCAAAGTGCTGGGATTACAGGCTTGAGCCACCGCGCCCGGCCACTTTTTTTTTTTTTTTTTTGGGAGTTTCGCTTTTGTTGCCCAGGCTGGAGTGCCATGGCGCGATCTTGGCCCACCGCAGCCTCCCCCGCCAAATTCAAGCGATTTTCCTGCTTCAACCTCCTAAGTAGCGGGGGTTACAGGCATGTGGCAGCATGCGTGGCTAATTTTTTGTATTTTTAGTAGAGAAAAGGTTTCTCCATGTTGGTCAGGCTGGTCTCAAAGCTCCCGACCTTAGGTGATCCCGCCGCCTTGGCCCCTTCAACATGCTGGGATGACTGGTGTGAGCCACTGTGCCTGGCCTGTACTTTGTATAGAGATGCAGTTTTGCCATGTTGCCCAAGCTGGTCTCAGACTCCTGAACTCAGTGATCTCAAAGTGTGGGGATTACAGGCGTGAGCCAGTGTGCCCAGCCTATTCAAGCTTTTTGAATTGCACTTGTTATGTCTTCTTTTTTAACCTAGAGTCGTTGTTATTGTTTCTCCATTATGTTGGCTTTTTCAAAAGTCATACGTTTTTTATTTTTTTTGAGATGGAGTCTTGCTCTGTCACACAAGCTGTAGTGCAGTGGTGCTATCTTGGCTCACCGTAACCTCCAGCTCCTGGGTTCAAGCGGTTTTCCTGCCTCAGCCTCCTGAGTAGCTGGGATTACAGGTGAGTACCAAGCGTGGTCAGATAATTTTTGTATTTTTAGTAGACACGGGCTTTCACCATGTTGGTCAGGCTGGTCTCGAGCTCCTGACCTCGATCTACCTGCCTTGGCCTCCCAAAGTGCTGGGATTATAGGCGTGAGCCACTGTTCCCGGCTTTCTAATTAATTAATTAATTAATTAATTAATTATTTTTTGAGACGGAGTTTTGCTCTTATTACCCAAGCTGGAGTGCAATGGCGTGATCTCGGCTCACTGCAACCTCCGCCTCCTGGATTCAAGCAATTCTCCTACCTCAGCCTTCCGAGTAGCTGGAACTACAGGCTGCGCCACCATGCCCAGCTAAGTTTTTTTGTATCTTTTTTTTTTTTTTTTTTGAGATGGAGTTTCACTGTTGTTACCCAGACTGGAGTGCAATGGCACAATCTCGGCTCACTGCAACCTCCGCCTTCTGGGTTCAAGCAATTCTCCTGCCTCAGCCTCCCGAGTAGCTGGGACTACAGGCATGCACCACCATGCCCAGCTAATTTTTGTATTTTTAGTAGAGACGGGGTTTCACCTTGTTGACCAGGATGGTCTCGATCTCTTGACCTCGTGATCCACCCGCCTCGGCCTCCCAAAGTGCTGGGATTACAGGCTTGAGCCACCACGCCCAGCCTTCTGAGTGGATTTTTATTGAATCTTTATTATTATTTTTTTTGAGACAGAGTTTCGCTCTTGTTATCCAGGCTGGAGTGCAATGGCGCGATCTCAGCTCACTGCAACCTTTGTCTCCAGGGTTCAGGCAATTCTCCTGCCTCAGCCTCCTGAGTGGCTGGGATTACAGTCACGCGCCACCATGCCCTGCTAATTTTTTTTTTTTTTTTTAGTAGAGATGGGCTTTCACCATGTTGACCAGGATGGTCTTGATCTCTTGACCTCATGATTTACCCACCTTGGCCTCCCAAAGTGCTGGGATTACAGTTGTGAACCACCACGCCCGAGGTCATATTAATTTCTACTGTAATTTAGTGATATTTTCACTGACTATTGTTACCTGAAGACTAAATTATAAATTCAACCTCTAGTAACTATATCCAAGATAGAAATAGAGATAAAAGTAAATGGTTGGTTTATATAAATACATGCTTAGAAACTAACACATACATAACAGTCAGAGAGAAAACCTGCGGCTGGGTGTGGTGGTTTACACCTGTAATCTCAGCACTTTTGGAGGCTGAGGCATGTGGATCACTTGAGGTCAGCAATTTGAGACCAGTCTGGTGAAAGAAAATATAAAAATTAGCTAGATGTCGTGGCGGGTGCCTATAATCCCAGCTACTCGGGAGACTGAGGCAGGAGAATTGCTTGAACCTGGAAGGTGGAGGTTGCAATGAGCTGAGATTGCACCACTGCCTTTTTTCTTTCTTTTTTTTTTAGAGACAGGGTTTCACTGTGTTGGTCAGGTTGGTCTCAAACTCCTGACCTGATGATCCATCCGCCTCGGCCTCCCAAAGTGCTGGGATTACGAGCATGGGATTACAAGCGTGAGTTACCATGCCCGGCTCAATACTGCCTTGTTTCTATTGTAATTTTTTTGTTAACCTTTCTAAATGGCATGGGAGTGCTAGGAGATTCTAGACATCATCCTTTTTGCCTCAGTTGTATAGCAATACCCTAGTTTCCCTTTAGTAATTGGGATTAATCCCTTCAATTAATAGATTATTCCGTCTCACCTTCTTATTATTTTTTTTTTCCCTCTTGGCTTAGTGGATATGAAACTCATAATGGCCAGGTGTTAATCTCACTTTCCAGTGTATTGGGACCAAATAGTTGCTAGTGGGGAAACATTCTTCATTATGGACTCCAATCTCCAAACTTGCAGTGCTCTGCATTGCTAGGACTGGAAGCAAAAATTCTGTTGTGGAGCTAATTCTGCCTTCACCCATCAATTCCTGGGCCTGCACGTTTTGACTGTAGTGAGATAGTAGCATGTAATGATCTCTGATCAGTGCATGCTCTGTGAAACAGAATCCCATTCTTTCAGAGGGTGTCTCCCAGTTGGCCCTGACTCTGAATTTTCAGTAAGCCATTTCGTCTTCCATTTAGATCAGCTGCTTCTGAGTGATGTGGTGTGTGATGAGACCAGTTCCCCCTGTTGCACTTCCTTTGCAGTGAAGTGGGTTCCTGATGAAAGACTGTATTGTGTGAATGCAGTGACTACAGTGAAAGCATTCTGTGAGTGCATGGATGGTGCATTGTATAGGCAGAAGCCTAGTGGATTTGCTCTCCCCTATACAAATCCATATTCAGAACGTGAGTCTTTTCCAGTGAGGATGAGTCTTAGTCACCTTCATGGTAGGAGTGGTGCAATGTAATCATCTTGCCACCAGGTGGCTCCCCTGGTTACTCTAGAAATTAATGCCCTTGGTTCAAGACCAGCCTGGACAACATGGGGAAACCCCATCTCTACAAAACAAAAAATCAAACCCTGCCCCTCAGAAACCCCCAAAATTAGCCAGGCTTGGTGGTATATGCTTGTAGTCCCAGCTACTCAGGAGCATGAGGCAGAAGGATTGCTTGAGCCCAGGAGGTCGAGGTTGTAGTGAGCCATGATCGTGCCACTGCACTTCAGCCTGGGTGACAGAGTGAGACCCTGTCCCCCCACCCCCAAGAAAAGAAAAGAAAAAAGAAATGAATGCCCTTAAATATTCAGTGTTTGTTTTTGCTTTTAGCAGATTAGGCACCTAGCTGTAGTGTTAGCTACATCAGCTTTGGTAAATGGAAGTCCATACTGTTGAGCTGTAAGTAGCCTTTATCCCTGTTTTTATGGCCATCTTATTCAAGGACTTACGGAGCAAGCACTGAGGTGGCTGGGGAAGGCAGTCGACTTCTATATAGAGTATCATTTTGTCCATCTGATTATTAAGTCTCATTTCTAGTGGATTACCTTTGCCGGTCATTTACATGAGACACAAATACCTTCACAGTCCATGTCATTTAAGAGACATCTATCCATATATATTTTTCTAGTCTTACCAGTCTTGTTTTGTATACATCCTTGACCATTTGGTGAAACCATTAGCAACTGCTCATGGATTATTGTTTACTTGTCCTTTTGGCCATGTTCTGCAGATCCAGAGAATAGTCAAATATACTGTGAGAAGTTCTGCCACTGGGATGAGATTCTTAGCTGAGCTGTTGTGTTTCTTCTCCCACTTTTGGGTGGTGCTAGCATATTGTGCAGACACATCTGTAAACAGACTTTGTCTTGGATGGATATAAGAAATACCTCAGGAAGCCACAGGCGTGGATTGAGGGAAAGGAGGTAGTGTGAATGGAGCTTGTGTTGAGTCTTTGCCATTTGCTCATGCAGTTTACTTGTACTCAGTGGAACTTCTAGAGCTCAGTGTCTTCTGTGCGATTTCCATTTCATGACAGATGGCTGCTGCATTTCCCCCCACCGAACTTGGGGTTTTGTGGGTCAGACAACCTCAAGTTCATGGTACTCAGGCCACTTGATCATATGATGTCCCATGTACAACTTCTATGTTGTGCCCAGTGGTAACTGTTTACTCGAAAGGAGACTAGTTTCCTGCACAAGAGGGAATATACTTATTCTGACCTACTGCTATGATTTTCCTACTGGCACTTGCTAGAGCCTTCCAGCAACATCTTATTTATTATAGATACTTTGAGCATCGCTGTATCTGCTGGATTATTTCCAACATATCCTTAAAAATCTTGTACTGCAGCCTGAGCTTGGTACTGTAATCACTTAGTGTTCATTCACTTTTTGTTTGTTTGTTTTTGCTTTTGAGATAGAGTCTCACTCTGTCACCCAGGCTGGAGTGCAGTGGCATGATCTTGGCTCACAGTAGCCTCTGCCCCCTGGGTTCAAGTGACTCTCTTGCCTCAGCCTCCCCAGTAGCTGGGACTACAGGCATGCACCACCATTCCTAGCTAATTTTTGTAGTTTTAGTAGAGACGGGGTTTCACCTTGTTGACCAGGATGGTCTCGATCTCTTGACCTTGTGATCCACCTGCCTCAGCCTCCCACAGTGCTGGGATTACAGGCATGAGCCACCAAGCCTGGCCTTCATTTGTAAGCATTATAACCAACTCTGTAGATGGGTTAAAGCACACTGAAATGTGGTATATGTTGTCTAAAGAATCTTACAGATCTTTAATTTTTGGAAGTACTGAGTAGGAGTGACACCTTGGAGGGGATAATCTTGATATGGTCTAGACCACTGAACCCCCAAATTTGTATTGATTGGGTGGTTCAGGCCTGTAACCCTAGCACTTTGGGAGGCTGAGGCAGAAAGATTGCTTGAGGCCAGGAGTTCGAGATCAGCCTGGCCAACATAGTGAAATCCCATCTCTAGCAAAAAAGAGATACAAAAAAAAAAAAAGTAGCCTGGCATGGTAATGTGCACCTGTAGTCCCAGATGCTTGGGAGGGTGAGGCAGGAGGATCACTTGAGTCTAGGAGGTGGAGGTTGTGGTGAGCTGTGATCATGCCACTGCACTCCATCCTAGGCAACAGACCCTGTCTCAAAAAATCAAAATAAAACCAAACTTGTTGATTTAGCTGGCTCCTGAATCTCCCATCTTCTACTTTAGCCTGTAAAGGTATCCAAACTATTTACTGTTTAATGTTATGGGATCCAGTGTAGAAAATATTATCAATGTGATGGACTGTTGCATTGTTTTCTGTAATATCAAAACCTCTGACGACTCTATTTTGATAGAAAACAGGAGAATTGATATGATAGTCCACAGCAATTCTCCAGAGTCCATGTGACTTCTGCACAGTCCTGTGTGGTGTATTACCTAGGTCTGGTGATTAGGTGAGAGACTGTGAATCTCCCCTGTGGTGACTCTTATCAGGTTTTTGGCCACTAAACTTGAGACTTCTTGTTACGTAGATCAAGCAAAATTCCAAGACCCAGACTGGCAAACAGTGGCTTATGGGACACATCTAGTCTTAAACCTGTTTGTAAATTATAGTTGGAGCAGAACA